CATCCCACCACGAGGAGAGACCACTCGCAGCTCCACCATCCACCACAACCAACCCAGCACCGGGAGATTTACAAAATGCATGTTTACAATTCAAAGTGAAAAAAAAAAAAGGTCAGTGTCTGGAAAATCTATAAATCTGACGGAACAATGGATTTATAAACCTCTCTGTGGGGTGCAGCCACTAAAGGAAGACAAGAGAGAGCTGTTGGCACGTCAAAGTTGTCACTTTGTAGGGCAGGTTGGTGCTAATCAGTCACCATGTACCACCCAGGAGGTGGCCACAGCTGAAGGGGAAGCTCTTAACACAATGTACTGCCACGTTTTCCAAGCCTCTGCTCGAGGGGATGCACATGATGTAAGTTTTCCAGAGAATTGCTGTGAGAAATGAGGCAGGTAGAAAGCAAACGTGCTCTAAATGTGAGCCACGTCCCCTGGAAAATGAAGTACTGTTGTTTATCCACTGTAATTGTAGAAATTAAGGTAATAACAATTACAATTAAGTGACTCATATGTACTACTGTGCAATTAATTTAGGCTTAGAGGCAATGTTATTGTGTATTAAATAAAAGGCAAATGATGACAGATCAGGTTGTCTGGGTGGTTCAGGTGGCTGCACTGCTCCTCTGGACCCAGCACAGCCCATCTGCAGGGCCACGAGCTGCTCAGGGCCCCGTGCTGGGGGAGCAGGTCACGCTTCCTCTGATGCCACATTAAACCTGGCTCTGCCCTTCGCTGCTTTTTGCAAAGTCAGGTTGTTCATCTGGCTTTCCCTGGGCCAGTGCCAGCCTGGAGGAGCTGGGCTGGATCTCTCGGAGCTTCCCTCGTGCCCGTTTGCCAGCCCTGTCCTTTTGGAGCACGTTCCTGAGCTCAGCCTCAGGAGCTCCGAGCAGAATGTCGGCGCTCTGTCGGGCTCCCCCGGGGGGAAGAGTCACATCTGGAGGCCCTTTGTTTGGTTTAATACGTGGTATTAATTAGCCAGACTCCTCAGGGCTGAATTATCTCCCAGAGTGCTCCAGCAGGAGCTGTGGCACTGACTCAGCACCACATGGAGGGAGGTCACAGTGGTGCCAAGGCTCCCCCTCTGCCCACAGACCTCCCAAAGAAGAGCCACTTCCCTCAGCTCTCCCCTGACAGTGACAATCACAGCAGTTCTGCCCTCGGGAGAAATTGTTCCACACCTACTTGTTGCATTTATGTGAACCTTTTCCTCCGAGGAAGCCACAAAGAGGTTTTGTGAATATTTTGAGCCACTGAATCTCTAATCCCCTCTGTCAGCTTTTAACTGTTAAATTGCTGGTGCTCACCATCAAAATACGGTTGTTCACAGCAAAATGTGTGTCCAGCCCCACAAATCAAAAGAGAATTAAATGTTCCTATGTCTCTTTTTAAAATTCTAATGGCTGCACTTCCACAGGATAAATATTTCTGACTTGAGTCTATGATTTACTGCCTGCAATCTCCTTCACATCCACTAAGAAGGAGAGAATTCAGAAGTTATGGCAGGAAAACTTTAAAGAAAGAAATATCTTTCTTTTCATGATAATATTCTTAAAAAATGAGTGAAAAAAGAGTATAGAAAAATCAATGTAAAAAAAACTATTTCTAAGTCGGATGTGTTATAAAACACTCCTTGAGGCATCAGCAGGTCTAGTATTCCCATAAATATGTTTTCCATAATCAGTCAGTATTTAATTAACACCCAGAAACTGCCTGACAGAATCTAAATGGAATCTTTAAGACACTTAATTTAGAAAGTATGGCTGAAATGCACTGGAAATGGTTCTCCTGGCCAGTTGTTTCTCTCCCACAGATGCAAAAGCTTTTATCTCCTGGGCAGCTTGTCTGTATGAGCCTGGGAAACCTGAAAAGCTACAATTCACTTTCAAAGTGGATCTATTTAATTCATCCTCCTCTTTCTTTCAATTACAACCCCTTCCCTGAGGAAAGGAAGCTGGAGAGAACCTGTTAGAAACGAGGAATCAGAAAGCAATAGGATATTTCCCCCAAAACTGCTTTAGGAATAATGATTGAAACTGCACAGCTCTTGTTCTGTCAGGCAAATGAATTATTTTCAGAGTAGTCCTCACTCTCTGTGCTAATTTCTGTTCATATTCATTTTGGCATCTGTGTCTTCAATGCTTTTGTCTCAGCTAAGCTTTTCCTTTGATCTCTTTAGTAGCAGGGGGCCTTGGGAAGGTATTTTTTTATTAAAAAACATGCCCTGGAAGATGTTCTGTTGCAAAACCAGCCCTGGTGTGGCAATCACTGCCTCACAATTTGCTGAGCAAGGGTTAAAACACGACACTTCTCTGCAGACTGGGAGAGATTTGCTAGAATTTGCAGTGCAAGAAAGAGAAGGGTTTGATTTGTCTGCCAAATCCCACTAAAAATCCACCCTGCCAAAGGTACTTTCTCTCACAGTGGGGAAAACCAAACATGAAGGGCAAGTTTAACTCTGCCCAGCCTCCAGAGGTGGGGCTTTCAAAGATTTTCCATTCACTGGTAGCATATTTTTTCTTTCTCAGGCCACAGAGGATTTTTTCCTTTTTTTTTTTTTCCCCCCCATTAATTTGTACAGGCATTCCCGTGGGATTTGTCATCCTGTCACACAGGTACAAATGTCTCAGAAAAATCATGCATTTCTTCCTGGATTCTCACTGTCTCTTACAAGTTTTGACCTGAGTGAGGCACCTGAGACAACTCAGATTATTCTCTAGTAGTTGGTGACTCCAACTGCTGTGGAAAACCCTCATTTCAGGCTGGGGAGGGATGGGAGGAGGGAGGAGATGCAGCAGGAACTCTGAACACTGAGGAACTGCAGCAGGGTCAGCACAGGGGACAGAAGTGCCAGCTGACCTGGATGCAGCACTGATCCTTAAAAAGAAGGATTTCAGAGCTCCCCCCTGGGCTGTGGCAGCTCTTTCCTGAAAGACACTGCAAAAATGTTGGTGAACTGAGGGGTCCTTCCCTGTGGGATTGAATTCCTGGCACACCAAGGCAGTGTGCTTGGAGTCACCCTTCCCACAGCACAGGGGGGTGACACAAGTCTGAAGAGAATCAGCCCCTTCCAAGCCCAGAACTAGGGAATAATTAGGGCTGGAAAACACCTCCAAGACCATCAAGCACGACCTTTGACCCATCACACCTTGTCAGCCAGCCCAAGGGGCACATTATTGGCTCTTTATTTCAGCTCCGTGTCAGCAGAAATTCTTGTAACTAGAAAAAAAAACAACCAACAACCCTGCTCTGGAGAGCATTTGGAATTCTGGGTCCTTTTTCCTGCTGAAACCTTGGCTGGTTTCCCACCTCATCTGCAATTCCCAGTGCACACAACCTGTGCACTAAAGTTCCTCTGCAGCTCCAGGACCACAGAAGACACAGTAGTGGCCCCAGCAGGACAGGTTTCACTCTTTGGTGGAGGTCCAGAGAAGGCCCTCGAGGTGCTGGGGGTTAAAACCACGTGGAGGGTGTTCTCCTCACACAGAGTGCCTGTCCCAGCCCCTGCACAGATGTCACCTCTCAGGAAAGCTGCAGCTGGTGGCTGGTGCTGAGCTGTCCCCAGGCAGCTGTGCCCAGCCCATCGTCCCCTCTGCACACAAGGGAGGTTTGCAAATGTGTTTTGATTTCCCCACAGCCACGGTGCATGCAGCTATGGCAGGATTGCAACTGATTGTAATGGACACGAGATAATTTACACATTATAAAGATTGGCTGACAATGAAGAATTGATTGTTTTTTAGCCTGTGAAGGAAGGGTTTGAGAAACAGCCATTTGTTTTTTGTTGATTTTTTTTTTTGTGAGGCAGAGGCATTCATTGCCATTCACAAAATGGCTACAAATAAGAAGAAGGCAGCATCAGCTGAAAGAAAATTATCCTGGGGAAACTCAAACTGGCCATGTGTGCTTTTCCACTCTTTTTTTTTTTTTGGCAGCAGGATATGAGACACACTGCTCCGAGCTCAGAGCATCTCCTGCCACTGGAAGCAAAGTCAAGACTAATCTCAGCCCGTGGGCTCAGTTTGTCTGCAGATCTTGTTCTCATACTTAGCAGAGCACAACAGAACACAGGCTACATGTCCAACCCAAGCTGTTCACAACACTGCCCCGAGCTCAGAGCATCTCCTGCCTCTGGAAGCAAAGTCCAACCCAACCACAGCCTGTGGGCTCTTTGTCTGCAGAGCTTGTTCACAAACGTAGCAAAGCACAACATAAAACAAGTGTCCAAACCAAACCATTCCCAACAAACCTTTCCTAGTTAGGGAGGGAAGGGGAAAGCACTGGCACAGCAGCATCCAGACCAAGGGTACAGAGGTGATGTGGCAGTTCTGAATGCTGGGCATTTACTGTTAATTTTGGAGGTAGGACTTCAACTCTTCCCAGCCCACTTCTTCAGCAGGCTTGAATCACCTGAACAGGTAGGAACATAGCAGGAACCATCCCCTCCCTGTGGTCTGGCTGTTCACAAAAAGGATACATTTATAGGCAGTGAAAGAACGCAGAGAAATGGCTCAGAAAGTGCCTCTGCAAAGATTCTGCCAGACGAGGCAGACTCTGAGATGGGAACGTGGTGTGTCCAAGGCCATGAAAGGGTCAGTGTGTTCCTGCATCACTCAGGGATGGAAGCACCCAGCATCTGCCAGGGCTGAGCCCAAACACCCTGTTTAGAAGACAGACAAAAAGCTGAAGCCCCAGAGGTGCCACGATCACACTTGTCTGACAGAAAATGCAACCTCACCACTAATTAATTCAGTTCTGCAGAGCATTCCAAGACTCTTACATAAAAAGTTCCAAATAAAGCCAAAGCATTGTTAACAAAATGTTCAGTCTTTTTGCAAATTAATTAATTTGTGATATTTCCTTAATGACAAGTACTATCTAATGAAACAAACACACCAGATCAAACAGACGTATCCTATTCAGCAGCTAATCCAGCGAGAGGGAGTGATAGGAAAATGTCTTTAGGGTTTAGCAGGGGAATAACAAACAAACAGGCAATCACATATGTTTCATTTTGTTTAATATCTGGTATCTGTGTGTGAATAAACATTTCATATCACACCTTTTGATGGCTGCCACAACAATATTTCAAAGAGAGAGCTCCTTCTTCACAGGAAAAGTGGAAGTTGCTCTTCTGTGAGAAGAGGGAGATGAAAGACAGCTTTGCAATGTAGTTCCAGCACAGCCCCAGACCTTTTGAACCGTTAGGATTTATATGTCATTAAATAATTAACTCAATGATGCATGAGAGAAAGTAATGTGACTCTCTGTAAAAGACCTCAATTAATTGCTTTCATTGCAGCAGACACCGGGGCCTCGTGATGAGATACAAGCGAGGTGAACTTTGTTTCAGAGATTGCCTTTTAAATGCAGTCATAAAAAAAGTGAAAAATGACTCCCTCAGATAAGACTTTTGTTTGCTGGGGTGTTTTTTTGTGTGGCAGTGTCTTTGCCTTAAATTAACTGACATAATCAGATGCTGAGCCCGGAGTCTTGCCCTTGTGCTACACCATTCCCTTTGTAATATTCTCTCTCTCCTCATGAATTCCAGGGACAGTAAAAGGCATAGCAAGGCATGTCTGAACTATGGATTTTTAATTAATTTATCTGCTGTCTTTTATCTTTCAGTATTCACAAGCTGGTATAAGCAATTTGGTTTAAACTGCCTGCTGCATTCTGCCACCTCTCCTGGGATTATCCTGTAGTCTAATAGGATATAATTCCTGATTGTGTCAACCTCTCTGTGCTTTATTTAATCTCAGTAGTTTTATTCAGACTTTTCTGCATTACCCTTAAGACCCTTCCTATCCTGGTACCCACAGCCTTTCCCAGGCTGGTCCTGCAGAGACTGGAAGGAGGGACTGGAAGGCTCAAGTCTTGGACTCAACCCCCAGGGCATCCCACTACACTAAATTAAATTGTTGGACGAGCAATTGGAGTAGAAACAGAGAACAGTCCGCAACCTACACTCTGACCTGAGCTCTGACAAGCCTTGGGGCAGCTCCAAGGTCAGGATTTCAGCTAAATTCAGAGCAGGGCTGTGTCTTGTTCTTCCAGCCTGTTGCAGATTCAACGAGTGGGGCGAGAACTGCTAATGGTAAAAAGGCAGCAGTGGAATATCCACTAGTTTAGGATTCTGGTGAAAGGTCTTCAGCTAGAAGGGAGCATTCCCAACCCCAGCTTTACCATGGGTGGAAATGAAGTCACTTAACAGAATGGCTTCCCAGCACAATTCATGTGCCAGTACCCATGCTCTGCCCTCAGCTCATGGTGAGATAACCTGCACTTAACCCCGGGGGAAGATTAGGATTATATGGTCCACATGGGGCTATTTTAGCCAGGTTGCTTCTTCATTATTTAAAAGGTTAAGGGGAAAAAAAATAAAAGGAAGGAAAGAAAAAAAAGGACTAATGTGGTGCCATCTGCTCAGGACGAGGTGAGAAGAATTCTGCCAGCATCTTATGCTCACCCCTGTCTGCTGGGCTCACGTGGGCATCCATTCCCACCTAATTACACACTGTCACAGTGCTGCTGCTGCCTCGGAACGGGCACTCCAAGGCAGGAGAGTGGCTGCAGAGGAACACTGTGCTCTGCTCAGCAGATGGCCCTGCCTGGGCCAGCGGGAGAGCCGCGGTGGTGATGCTGAACGGCTGCTCCCTGCCCTGCTCCCAGCAGCTCCTGCTGGGAGGGTCAGGCTTTGCAGGCTGTCGGGGACAGTGGAGCTCTCACCACTGGGAAGGCTGTTCCACGGTACAACCTCACAACAAAACGGCTTCCCAAGCTGTGTGAGGAAGCACAGCAGGTGCTGCTTCTGCCGGGGATGGTGCAGCAGGAAAAGAGGCAGAGAAAAGCTGATCCTGTGAGAGTTTTGCACAGACAAGGAGACATCAGTGTCAGCTTTCTGCTCCCAAACTGGAGGTGGCTGCAGGACAGAGTCAGGAGGAGGAGACATGTTGCTCAGGTGAGAATGATGATTTCAGAGCTGGATGTCCCTGTGGCACAGCATTCACCTGAGCTGGGGGGAGACACGTGAAAAGACAAATGCTCAGTTTGTTCTTCAGAGCTCAGAGTTTTTAGCTGCTCCCAACAGAAGGCAGATCCTGACCTTCTAGGAGGTGTGTAGGGCCAAGCAGAGGTTGTTCTCCCCCTCTGGAGTGAGAAAGTCATCCTGTGACTACCAGATAGTCATTGCTCACTTCTCACAGTCGCTGCTTCTGAGATAAAGCTATTTGCAAAGACAAAAATCACCTTGATCATGACAGTGGAAGAAAAGGGTGCAGCTAATAGGCTCTTAATTGGGTGGGATTGACAGGCAGTTGAGGTTCTCCCTGCTCCAGGCTTTGGAAACCACAAGGAACGGACTTCCCATGCAGCCAGTGACATCAGTGGTCTTCACAAGGGCTGCCTGGAATGAAGCTTCATTAATGTTTTCCTTGGTATAATCCATCATCCCTTCAACAATGCATTTCTGACAGTTAATTAGACTCCACAGAGTGGAATAAGTAGTGTCGTGTTTGGAATTATAATCCCTTACTGAAAAACACATCATAGGAGGCACATCAGCAGCCCAAGCCCTTGGACATCTTAAGCAGTTTTTATTCCAAAAGGCTTGGTAAACTGTGCTCAGTAAATTCTGCAGCGTGTTTGCCAATGGCTTCATTACAAAGAGGAGCCAGGAATCCAAGGCCACCTGTTCATCAGCAAAGCCCCAAATAAATAAATAAATACATAAATAAATTCAGCCCTTCTGCATGAAAGATGAACCCCAAGTGTCAGTGCCTACCCTGGGTGACACTCAGGACGTGAGAGGTAAAATCCTTGTCCAGGTGAGGCCTGTGGCAAAGTCCCTGCTGATTTCAGTGGGGTTGGACTTGATGTGAGAAATCATTTACACATACCACAGGATGGAAAATGCTGCAATAATGACCTGCTTTATCTGGATTACCTGGCAGTTTTGTGCTTTGGAAAGGTGCTGTTATTTACTGGGTATGCAGAACAAAACCAGGAATTTGGGGGTGGCTTCCAAGCACAGCTGTGACAAAAAATGATCCCGTTGAGTAACACTAATAATATTGAGATTGAATTCCTAATGTTAATGATATTCATAATATCAGTGATATAATTATCAGTGATAATATTAGTGGCTTGGCTAGACTTAACTAAGCCAGGAGAGCTCAGCAAGGGAAGTAATGTTAAAGAGGAGGACAGAACTGGCTGTGTGATGGATGGCCTGAGGCAGGAGAGATGTTCTTCCAGAAGTATTTGCCTGCAAGTGCTCAGGTGTCCACAAGTGCTCAGGTGTCCACTTGCTTCAGACATGCAACAGTGCTGCTACCTTGAGACCCTGAGCACAAGCATAGCTGGCAGTGACACCGAGTGTGACAGGGACAGCAGCACGTTTAAACAGACCTAGACCACTGCTTTCCACAGCTGGCATCATTTCCCTCTGTCTACCCGTTCTTAATTGGTTTTTAATTTACTGCTTATCTGGGCTGCATTTGAAAGATGTCCCAGACCTCTCTCTGGATGCGAATATTCTGTTTGGAAGGCTCGTACAGCCAGCTGGAAGCATCCTCATCTTCAGATGTGAGAAGGGGAGCCAGTGCCTTCACCTTCTCGCCCAGCCTGTCCCTGCCCGGGTGCTGAACTGCAAACAGGAGAGAGGGAGCTGCCCCGGGGGTGCAGGGACAGGAACAGGGCTGAGCAGCCTGGCTGGCACCCAGCCACAGGCGTGGCTCTGCCAAGGACACAGCTCCTGCTGCCAGGGCTGAACGGGATCATAGAATCATAGAATCATAGAATCATAGAATCATAGAATCATGGAATCAGCTGGGTTGGAAGGGACCTCCGAGATCATCAAGTCCAACCCTTGATCCAACCCCGCTGTGGTTCCCAGCCCATGGCACTGATGCCACATCCAGTCTGTCCTTCAACACCTCCAGGGACGGAGAATCCACCACTTCCCTGGGCAGCCCATTCCAATGGCTGAGCACCCTCTCTGCAAAGAAATTCTTTCTAATATCCAACCTAAACCTCCCCTGGCACAGCTGAAGACCCAGCCCTCTTGTCTTGCTGATGGTTGCCTGGGAAAAGAGACCAACCCCCCCTGGCTCCCCCCTCCTGTCAGGGAGTTGCAGAGAGTGAGGAGGTCTCCCCTGAGCCTCCTCTTCTCCAGGCTGAACAGCCCCAGCTCCCTCAGCCTCTCCTCACAGCACTTGTGCTCCAGTCCCTTCCCCAGCCTCGTTGCTCTTCTCTGGACCTGCTCCAGCCCCTCCATGTCCTTCCTGAGCTGAGGGCCCAGAACTGGACACAGCACTCCAGGGGTGGCCTCACCAGCGCTGAGTCCAGGGGCAGAATCACTTCCTTGGACCTGTTGGCCACCCTGTTCCTGAGCCAGGCCAGGATCCATCGGCCTTCTTGTCCCCCTGGGCACACTCTGGCTCCTGTTCAGCTCCCTGTCCATCCCCACTCCCAGCTCCCTTCCTGCCTGGCTGCTCTCCAGCCCCTTTGGCCCAGCCTGTAGAACTGGAGGGGGTTGTGGCCAAAGGGCAGGACCCGGCCCTTGGCCTTGCTGAACCTCATCCCCTTGGAATCAGCCCAACTCTCCAACCTATCCAGGTCCCTCTGCAGAACCCTCCTGCCTTCCAGCTGATTGACACACCCCCCCAGCTTGGTGTCATCTGCAAATTTGCTGATGGTGGACTCAATCCCCTCATCTAAATCATCAATAAAGATATTGAACAGAACTGAGCCCAACACTGATCCCTGGGGGACACCAGGGTCTCGTTGTGAGACCCTGGGCAGGCCACTCCGGAGGAGCAGGGCTCTCCAGGATCAGCTGTGTGAAGATGAGATGAGCAATCCCCGTGCCTGTCCGTGGGCCAAGCCCAACATGATTTTAAACTACGGTGGTTTTCTCCTTCAAAGCTCTCCATTCCCCGAGGCAGCGACGCTCCACCTGTGAACACAGCCCATACATCACAGGGGGACAATTTTCTGGGCAAAAAGCCTGCTTCTGATGTCCCTCTTTCTAAATGGTCCCTCAGGTGTCAGAGTAAATGAACTGTCATGGTGAACCACAATCCTCCCTCCTGCTGCATAACGAGCCTGTTTGTTTAGGAGAGCAAATAGCAGCAGCCACCCCCAGCAGCCTCTTGCTGCAAAGTGCTCCTTGAATCCAAACAGGGAGCAGGATGAAGGCTTTCCCTCTGCACAGGGATAGTTTTGCTGATCTGGGCACACAGAGGGAGCCTGGAACTGCTGGGATACATCAAACCTGCTCTGTGTGCACGGATCATGTGCATTGCTCCTGCAGCTCTGGAGAGCTTTGGTGGACATTCCTCTCCTGCTGCTAAAAGGTGATCTGAGAGCTGGCCAGCCAGACCCCACTGAGCAATTCACTGAGAAGCTGTAGACCATTGGCAGAGGGCAAAAAAAACCCCCACAGCTTGTTAAAGGAAAACCAACAAAGCCCAGAAAGGCCCATTTTAATATTATAATTTGTTTGCTGCAACAGATTCGGTGCCTAATTTCCATGTCTGTTTAATCTGAATTGTTATCACCTGGAAGTCACAAAGAAGCTGGTTCTGCTTTAATACAGATCCTATTTTTTTCATGTGTTAAAAATGTATTACAAAATCCTTTTGTAATAACAACATGGGTGCCTCAGAAGCTGACACCAAGTGTCTGCATGAACTGAGCTCTTCTGGTAAACCTTAAATGAGGCTGCACCTTGAACTTTGAATCAGATTTTTTTTCCCCCTCATCTTATTATGTTCAACTTCTAGACATTTTTATAGCAATGCAAGCTGTAGTGCAAGTGGTGAAGGAAAAAAAGTGAGCAGAATTGGAGCAGAAGAATAAATCCACAGCTCCCAGTGCTCGTGATGGTTATCCATTGATTATTTTGGGCATAAATTGTATTGATTATGGTAATGAGAAAGCTCAGGGACAAGTGACAAGCCCAGTGACAGGCTTCCCAGGCATGTGTGGGTCTGAATGGCATTTGCAAAGCACTGCTGGAATTCACACCCTCCTGAACTGCTGTTATTTTCCAGCCCTGAATATCCCAGTACATCTGGAGCACTAATGAAGGTGCTTAATCAGAGCTGTGCACATCACAGGTGGAAAAACCCAGGCAGAGGAAGAGCTGCCCTGCCCAAGGAGTGACACTGAGGAGGTCTGGGCCAGAGGCAAAACTGAGCCCAGATTTCCCCCCAGACCTTACCAACTGCCCCCAGCTTTCCCAGCTCCCTGGCCAAGGCCTGTTGCACACAGAGCACCTTCCAGCACTGCTGGAACACCTCCAATCACGGTGTTTTTGTGCTGGGGGGAACCAATTTTCCAGTGTAACCTTTGTCAGCAGTGGATGGATGAAGGGCTGATATTGGAAAAGATATGAACTCCTTTTGCCAGTCTCCATTGTGACGCCTGGGAAAACAAGTCAGCAATTTTTCGTGGGCATGTTCCGAGGACAGAGACATGAAGGATTATCAGATGCTCAGGTACAACCTTATAAGACAGCAAATGAAAGCCAGAGCACAACTGGAATTCCACAGCACATATTCCCAGTATTGTGTTCCTCGTGTATTCTTCTCCTGCAGCCAAGGATATTTCTCTGGAAGCCCCAGCTCTTGCCTTCATGTCAGCAAATGTGAATTCAGCTCCTAACCACCAACATATTAGCAAGGAAAGGGTTTAGCTTTAGCATCTGCTCTGATTTTTTTTTTAAGCATCAAAGAAGAAAGACCTGCAGCTTTGTCTTGACAATGCTGGTAAATACTTTGTGCCTGTTTTACTTACCAGAAGGTTACACAACATTAGTGCAGAATGGAAATGTCAGGCCAGGCAGAGAGACAACTGTGGCTGCTGCACAAATTCTTTCCACGCTATAAATATAGATCTTCCCCCATAATTGCAACACAATCTCGATCTGCCTGTGGTGATAAAGGGGGGGAAAAAAAGAAAAAAAAAAGAAAAAGCTGTTTAATTTAATTAGAGTCCATTTGAAAACCTAGTAGCATGAAATAATTTGATATACAGAAATAACCCTCACCAGCTACAGACACCATTTCATTGTGTCTTATCTTGGGATAACAGTAACTGTTACATTTCAAACCTTAAACTGTATAAACAGTGTGACTGCAGATAGCCCTAAGAACATTTAAAATGACGTCAGGATATTACCACTTATTCAGCTCCCTCTTCTCTCCCATCAGGCAAAGATGTTAAAAATGCTGCTGGAGTAACATTCACCCTTGAGGAAATTCATGGCTAATTCCTGCCCATCCACTCCACAGCAGTTTTCTTCCCTCCCTATGGAAGCAGCTCCCACTAAAAGCTCCTTTTCTTGTGGGTAAGGCCATCCCTGGCATGAGGGGCAATGGTATATGGAGAATGCCCTAAAATTATTTGTGAGGTATAACATGAAAAACCTTTTGATTCGTTCTACTCCTGGTAAAAATATGTAAGGCAAAATGAAGAGTCTATGGACAAAGTGGTTAAAAAAATATGTTTTTTTTGGGTTTTTTTGACAGAAAAAATTGAGGGGAAGATAATCCCCCCCTCTCCCCAGTCACCACCCCCAATTTCCTTTAAATACATTTTTCATTTGTTTTCATGCTGCTTTGATTATTTTGGTCTAATTAAAATTGAAAAACCTGAAGAGAACAAAGTTGCTGCAAAGCAAAATGTTATCAGCTCTTCAAAAAAGAGCTTTTCTCTGGTTTTTGCCAATATTTTTGGCTTCCAGTGCGATTTTGGAAAGCAGAGAAACAAATACTATAACCACAGACTGTTTTATTGCTCTGGCATTTTCTTTCTTCCTACAAAAGGAACAGAACCTTTCTGTGAAGGTAAGAGGGACCCAGGTGATTATCGAGGTGATCTCTTGTATATCACAAATATTACATTTACCATGATATACATGGCATTTATCTCTGCTCAGCCCAGTAATTTAATCTAAATTAAAGCATTTCCATCCCCTAGGGCTAAACTGTGGGTTGCCACAAGAAGTCCTTTAATTTGACTTTAGTAATGTAAAGTTAGGCAACCCCCTCCCACCATTCTTACCTTCCAAAAGGAGCCAAACCTGCTTCTGAGTGACAGAATTAAAGTTTTAGGAGCAGGAATATGTGAGATACTATTTATATATGTGCAATATAATAATATATATAGCTAAGGCTATAGGAACCTTCTCAATTATAAGGCAGATTACCCAAAATTTAAATCTATAAAAACACCTGGTGTTGCATTTCTGTATTTGTACATATACACGTATATATATGCATGTATTCTCATGTATTGGCATGAATGAGATACAGAACTTAAGCCTATAAAACTGCCTCTGTGTGTGAGGCAAAGACAAAGGAAAAAATTAAAAATATGAAAATATTAAAAATACGGAAAAATTAAAAATAGGAAAATATTAAAAATACGGGAAAATTAAAAATATGAAAATATTAAAAATATGGGAAAATTAAAAATATGAAAATATTAAAAATATAAAAAATAAAAAATTCCTTGAGGATTAAAAATATAAAAATGTAAATAAATACCTTGAGGATTAAAAATATAAAAATATAAAAAAATGCCTTGAGGATTAAAAATATAAAAAAATGCCTTGAGGATTAAAAATATAAAAATATAAAAAACCACCTTGAGGATAAGAGAGGGACAGAGAGACTCAGAGGTACAAACACAGCCCCTTTCTCCCGTGTGTCATAGGAGGGAGCTGGGAATTAGCAGGCTCTGGGGCAGGGCAATTGTCCCTCCTCCTTGCTTTCTGCTCCCATCATTTTTCCTCTGTGGCTCATCTGTCCTTCTCGATGTGCTCTGAGCAGGAACAAGGCCCTCCCTTCCCCAGCCTGTCCCCGGGTATCAGCCAGCAGTGAATCAAAAGGGGCACAAACAAGGCTGAACTGAACATCTGTACCGAGGCAGAACAAAAGCCTTCAAATGCTGTTTAGGAAATCCTGAGCCATCTCCTGCCACTGCTGCCAACAGGGATGGCAGGAGCAAGGCAGAGCTTCAGACAGCAACTCAGACATTATTATTAATTATTAGTATTTACACTGTGATTAGCATCCGGCAGCCTCAGCCAGGGAACAGATTCCACTGTGCCATCTCCTGCTCCAGGTCTGTTAGACCAGGCACAGCAAGCCTGGGGGAAGGCTCTGAGATGCTAAAGTGGATCCACTGTCTTGCTGGATGTGGCTGATTCCTGGTTTAAAAAGATATCTGTATCTAGATATATATAGATAGATAGGTATAGATATACATATAAAAGCCATCAGAATCATGCAGTAGTTTCCCAATGGGGAAAAAAAGAAAACCAAAATTGAACAACCACCCAGAAATTGTATTAATATCTGCAGACCACACTGGGAGTGATGGGACTGGGGCAGTTCTTTTTCTGATCTTGGTTTTCAGCTCTGAGATGCAAAAGTGGATCCATTGTCCTGCTGGATGTGGTTGATTCCTGGTTTAAAAAGATATCTGTATCTAGATACATATATAGATAGGTATAGATATACATGTAAAAGCCATCAGAATCATACAGAAAGGTGGGAAACTTCAGGGAGCCAAAAAGCACTCCATTTAAAATATAAATGCAAGGGAGCAATGCTCACTTCTCCTAATCTTATTTTTTTTTTAAGTAGCTCACTATTATTGCTTGTAATCTTATCATAGATGACTTTTCCCCAATGGGGAAAAAAAGAAAAGGAAACCAAAATCAAACAACGACCCAGATATTGTATTAATATCTGCAGACCAGACTGGGGGTGATGGGATTGGGGCAGTTCTTTTTCTGATCTTGGTTTTCAGCTCTGAGATGCAAAAGTGGATCCACTGTCTTGCTGGATGTGGTTGATTCCTGGTTTAAAAAGATATAGATACAGACAGATTGATATAGGAAAGCCATCAGAGTCATACAGTAGTTTCCCATGGGGAAAAAAAGGAAGAAGAAAAACAAACCACCCAGAAATTGTACCAATATGTGGGGGCCAGACTGATGGCAGTGGGACGGTTCTTTTTCTGATCTTGGTTTTCAGTGGTTTAAACCCTCTCCTGAGAAGGATGGTCTGGAAGAAGGTTCAGATCAGGACCCAGATGAAGATGCAGCCCAGAGCAGACTGGTGCTATTTATTATTTCTATTTTGGAGGAGCCCAGAGGCTTTAATCAGCATCAACACAATCAAATCCTGGCCCGGGGAGCACAAATGCTTTGCAGCAGTGACGGGCACGGCTGGCACCAGGTGGGGGGAACGTGGGAGGTGAACAAGGGCTGAAAGGGGCCCCCAGGTCCAGGTCACTGACAGTGCTTATCCCACCTCTCCCCTCTCCTTTCCCAGCCTTCCCAGCCACCTCCCCAGCCCCTCTGGACCACGCTGCAACCCCAAAGCCTGCACACACGGTGTGCCAACGGGCCTTAGCCCTCCCCGCCTCCTGTCAGGCTGCATCTACATAAACCTGCATTTGTCTGTGGCCATAGCCCAGTTTTCTCTCTTTATTTATCTACCTGTCTACTCATTTTACAATCTCTCTCTGGACAGCCACGGAGCAGGAGACAGAACCAGATGCTGTGGCATGCACTGAATGCCAACGAGCCCGGTGGGGTGTGCGAGCGGCCTCACGCAGAGGAAAGGTCCTTTTGTAAACATGCCTTCTGATCAAAGGGCTGATGCTTGCTGATATTTTCAACATTAATAATCTCCCAGCTGCCTCACTCTATTCTCTGGCTCCCTATTTACCCATCCTTCACGGTACACAGAGAGGCAGGGCTTGAAACAATCAGCTGGCTGGAGGAGAGGGAGGTTGTTTGAAACAGGGATTCACCTGAAGGATAAACCACATTGACGTTGCACAGGAAAGCATAAATATGTATAAAATCGTGGTATTGGCATATACTGTGCCAGAGAGAGAGGCATCTAAAGATATGTGCACACATGCATACAAAAATAATGTATAATCACATGCACAGTCCTTCAAAATCCCTGTGCTGCTGTCTGTGCCACACCTCCTTTCCTACCCACCATGCAGAGGTGTATGGAATCAGGTAATTGAAACATGAGTGTTTCATCAATAAAACAGAAAAATTACTGCCAGAAATTAATGCCCATGCAAGGTACTCCCTGGAGAAGACGTAGTTGGCTATTTTTGTGATGGTTTATATGTTTGTGAAATGGGAGCAAGGAGAGAGAAGCTGAACAGAAGAGTTACAGTAGCACAGCTCTGAACCACAGTGAAGGGAGAATATTTGGGCCAAGTGCTGGCTGAGACAGACCTGAAGATGCAAGGAAAGGAGATGTTTCCTGTTGTTTGACTCCTGCTGTGCTCCGTGGAGCAGGACATGGTACATCCTTCCTCAGTCAACAGCCTCCCAGTTCCATTGCCAGTCTCCTCTTAATGGATGTCCTTTTGCTCAAGGAGAAAGCTTTAATAAAACTGGTTATAAACTCTGCATACCCCAGGAAAATGTCATCTGTCACTGAAATACAGCCAGCCCTGGCATGGCAGGCAGCAGACCTTGGAGCAGCACACTGCCAGCCAGCCAGGCAGAGGCTGGAAAATGCACCACATCTGTCTGGTGTAAAACGGGTGGGAGGACTCCGGGCAGAGCACAGCAAACACACTGGGTGAGCCTTGGCTCAGCAGAGAGTCCACTGGCACCTTTGCTGGCTGCAGCCAAGCTGGTTCTTTAACTCCCACGCAGGGAGATGCTTCCAGCACCTGCTCGTGGTGCTAATTAGGGTGTTCTTCCACACAGGACTTGCCTGCTGAGCCCCTGGGTGTTCTGACTCCACGTGCCCTGTCCCAGCTGCCCCTTTGGACAGCTGCATAACTGGGAGCTGTTGAGGCAATCTGTACCTCTACTCCATCAGCCACTCGAGCTAAACCTGCAGCAAGGCACAGGGGAGCCAAAGCTATGGGAAAC